ATATAACAAGAGAAATGAATACCCCCTCTCAAATTTATTGATAATAGTCAAATTTTATTGCTGGACACTGAAATTTGAATTTCTTATATTTATCATTTGTCATGAAATATTACTATTTTAGTTTTTCTTTTAAATATTTGAAAATGTAGAAGCCATTCTTAGCCATGGACTATGGAAAAAGTAGTTGTCAAGCACTTATTTAGAATATATCATGTGGGTATCTGATAGACCAGATTTGAATTTCATTTGTAGAACATTTGAGTACTTACTGTATGTATTAGAATTAAATATAATATTAATATCACAATTTTACAAGGAAACTGAAGTTCATTTGTAAAGAAACTTCTTTAAGTTTTGCCACGTCAGTAAATGGCAAAACTAGAATTCAAAACCTTATCTATTTTTTAGTTCTCAGGTTCTTTCATGTGCTCGTCGTTATCTCTTATGGGCCAGCCATGGTGTATAGTACCATGAATAGGAAGAGTTCCTGCTCCCACATAGTTCTTACTCATGATGCTGCACAGATTTGAGAAATGTAATTTTCTAAAACATGCCTGTTGTCATTACAAATCTGATTCACCTAAACTTACTCTCATTTTCTGATAAGAAGCATTTGCTTGTTTTTGTGACTCTTATCAAGCCTTTCTTCTGTTTCTCTTTTTTCCTTGAATAGTAAGGGAACTCTTTTATCTGGTAGCATTCAGCTTCATGAGGATGAAATTAAAAGTATTTGAGGTTGTAAAGGGAAATAAACATTTAAAGTACTAGGGAAGGGACATTAGAGCAGTACACTAGGGCATAGCAACGCTGACTCAAACAGGGTTCCTGTGAGCCTTTTTTCCTGCAGCTCCTTGTAATTTGTTAGAATCTCTGTATCCAGAAGTTGGAACTGCTCTGTTTCCTCTGCCCTGTTGGTACCTGTAGGGAGCAAGTATGAAAGACTACAATGGGCCATAGTGTGTAGGGGCAGGGCCTAGACCATCGGATCTGCTTCCGTGCTGTTTCTTAGTTCCCTTGATGTTCAGCCTGGCAGTTAAATAAAGAAAGAATGTAATTTTAACTCTGCAGAAAAGTAGTATTATTTTTTTTTAAGGTAACATTTCATAACGTTACAATGTCAGATTAAACTTATCTCTCTCTACTTCCCTGAATGTTGTGATGACACAGATTTGAAAATAGTTTGAGTGTGTTCCTTAAAACCTCATCATTTTATTAAAAATTGACAAACCTCAACAGAAAATCACGGAAATGATAACACCGAAACGAACCATGAAATAAAAGTCATTATATTGTCATTTAAGGAATGATTTTATAACCGTTATACCATTTTTGGGAATTGGTTTCTGTTTTATCTCATAGTATCACAGTTAGTAGAGTACTTCTATAAATCATCTCTTTGCTTTAGGGAGAACTTTTACTACTGGGCAGGCTTTCTGTAGTTTGTGGGAAGTGGTTGTAGTTGCCTCCAACTTGAGTATTGTTTCTTTAGCTTATTCCCGAATTGTCAAATGGAGTGATTAGAATGTGCTAAGGACACAAACACATAATAAATGAATGAATGAGCAATAAATAAATACTCTTTTCCATTTGGTGGCATTTTGGGTATTTTGAATTTTTATCTATTGCAATTTGAAGTGAAGTTCATAAAATGGGCTCACTTTTGCATTTAATTTCATTTATTGTGGCACTTTGCAGTTTTTAGTTGATCCAGGAACATTCATTGGGAAAAGTAATAGCACAGTAGTTACCAATGTTGACTAAAATAATTTTTTTAATGTATGTTACCCACTTGCTTATTTGTTCCCAGGAGCTCCATATATCTTTTAGAAATTTATCTTTACATCTGTTTGTGAAATAAAAATAACCTTCATTTATAATCATACTCATGTTAGTAATGATAGTCTCTATTTTTAAAATTTCATAATTTAGAATCAAATCTTAAACATTGTTTAAAGGGGAAAAAGATGAAAGTTAAAAAATCAACTTATTTTTTTGAGGAGTGAAATTACTTCAATAGACCTTGTTTTTTCTAGAAATCTGTTGGAAAATACCTTCTTACCTGTTAGGAGAAAAGCCTTTCTATTATTGTCAATAGTGTTAGTGTGTTCCGTTAAAAACAAAAAAGTCCCAATTTACAGTCCTCTGAGGTTTGAAGAAAGTAGTTCCTTATTAAAAACATGTAGAAAGAAAGACATGAAATTGTTCCGTTCTTCAGTGGAAAAAGATTAAATTGCTGACACTTTTTAAATGATTGAATTGTTAGTGTGGATAACAATTTGTGAAAAGTCAAGAGTTGAGACTAGTTTCAGGCTGTGTTAATCTTTTGTATCTAAAATGAGAACTAAATACCTCATAGGAATGTATATGGAGGTATAATACCTTTTCCTGCTAGGACACTTCTGTGAGTCAGTAGTGGTTGAGTGTGATTACCTTTGGATTCCTTTTTGGGACTGAGAGAAATGAGTGGGTGGTTTCAATGCAGTTTCAATGTTGTTAAATCAGAGAAGTTCTAGAGTTAGTATTAATTGGCCCCCTATAGATACTTTTAATGAGGAAGCTGTTACACAGGTAACTTCTTCACACTTTTAGAATTTATTATTGCCTAATAAAAGTTCACTGGTATGGAAATCTTACATTCATATACATTATTGTCTCTCTTGTGATTCAGTTTAAATGTACTGAAATTTTGCTTAGTAGTTTTTTTGTATTTTTTTTCTGCTTTAAAATAATTGTTTATTTTTAAATAGGACAGAGTATTAACAAAAAGACTTAAAATTCAAATTTTGACTCGCTTTGATTTGGGAGACCTGCTTGGGAAATACTAAAATGAAATCTCCACACTAATTAATTTTATTCATCAGACTCTAACACAGTGACAGGAAAGGAATGGAATTCTCTAGCCAGCATGGTTTGGAGTGAGTCATTGGATGGGGCAAAAAATCAGCCATTTCTATATTTTTGCTTCTTATTTTACTGATTTTATGAACAAATACATGCTCCAAGGCTTGATAGGGTTGAGTTAATGGAATTTTGATAGCAAAAGGGTAGTAAATAAATCATAAAATAGATGATTATATTAAATAATTAATGTAGAGGTAGAGAGAAATTGTTATATGTAAGGAGATAATAAAATTGTTTTACTTATTCTGTAATTATTCTCTAGTTTCTTTGTTAACAGTAGATAAATTATAAAAATTAGTTAAGAACTTTAATTTGCTACCATAATGAGCATGACTTGAGAAATTGCATTTCTGATGTTAACTTCTTAATATTAAACCAGTTTTAACTATCTATAAAAAATAATAATTGGAGGCCGCGCGTGGTGGCTCACGCCTGTAATCCTAGCACTTTGGGAGGCCGAGGCGGGCGGATTGCTCAAGGTCAGGAGTTCGAAACCAGCCTGAGCGAGACCCCGTCTCTACCAAAAATAGAAATAAATTAATTGACCAACTAAAAATATATATACAAAAAA